TTTTCCCCCCAACCCAGGCACTTAAAAGCAGAAATCTGAGAAGCGATGGGTCGGCTCCAGCAAGGTTTATTCCTGGCAGTTCGAGTCTCATCCAGTGACTGCAAACTCCTTGTATATTTGAGTGACATCTGGCTTGGATATTCTGGAAAGATTACCAGCTGGCATGTCATGTATTATGAAAAGAATAACATTTGCCTTAGAGGATGCTACAAGCCAGGAGCAGGGCCCCGGGGAGCAGCGTGACAAATTTCCGCGGCGCTCGGTGATGAACTTGCCGCAGTTCTTTAAGAGACTTGACGTGCCTTCGCCTCCAATTTGGGGAGAGGGGAGATGCTGTCGGGAACTTGATTTATCTCCCGTGGAACGGGGGGAAGGAGGGAGTCCAAACACCTTCCTGCGATGGGGATTGTGTGAACGGAGCTGGAGCTTTGCTGCTCTGTGACACCCGCCCCAGGCTCTTCCCTCTGCTCCCACCTTGCAAACGGGGAGCGGGACCCCTTGTCCCGAGGCTGGGTCTGGCTGCAGGGGGGCTGAACCCTGTGAATATCCTCTGGCAAAGCTTTTCTGCACGTGCTGGGCTTTGTGCATGGCTGCGGCGAGGGAAACTGCGTGCTGAGAGCTGGGCATCAGCCCCAGCGAGGGGTGCAGGATGAGACCCCAGCAAGGGGTGCAGGATGGGACCCAGCGAGGAGTGCAGGATGAGACCCCACCAAGGGGTGCAGGATGGACCCCAGCGAGGGGCGCAGGATGGGACCCCAGCGGGGGGTGCAGGATGGACCCCAGCGAGGGGCGCAGGATGGGACCCCAGCGAGGGGTGCAGGATGGGACCCCAGCCACCCTCTTTGCGTCGCTGGTGTTGGGAGTTTTTCTCCCCCCATGTGGGAGGAGATTAAACGTGGGTCTGGTGGAAATAACCCGCTCCTGGGATGGGGGAGGTTTGTCTTCAGGAGGAAGGAGAGGGAGCAAGTTGGCTCCTTGTCTCACACGTGCCATAGGAGAGCTGCAGAATCCCCTTTTTTTTCCTGAAATTGGTGCTTTAGCCCAAGCCTGTCCCCTTTCCCCATGTCACGGAGCAGTTGCCCCCATATCCCCCGGTTCCATCTCTCCTTCGGCGGTACCTGCTCCCCGCTCCCTTTGTGCACTGGAGATCTGGTGGGATGCAAAGTGCTGGGTGGATGGGAGGTATCGCTGCGGATCTCTTCTACTTCATTCAGTCACTTCATTTATTCTTCCGTCTAATTTGATCAAAACCTTCTGAAAACAAATCATTCCTATTAAAAAAAAAAAAACCAACACAATTTCTAGCCCTTATTTCCATCAGTTCTTATGGCTTTAGGCAGGTAGCATTGGATGATTCAATCTCCAGTTGGACAAAGATGACATTTAATTAAGAAGGAAGGAAAAGGAAGCTAAAGAAAATAATGTATGCCTTCTTCTTCCTATATGAAGGGTGGAAAAAAAAAAAAAAAAAAAGAGCTGAGGAGATTTTTCTGTTGTGAAATGCAAGGTCTCATCTCCGGTGTCAGCAGCTTGGCTGCTCTGCAGCGATGCCTCGCTGTGATTGAGATCCAGCCCGGGCCACAGCTCAGCCTCGTGTCTGCTCATTTAATGACTGAGTCGATTTGGAAAGCTGCAGCCCATCCGTCTGTCCACCTGGTCCATCTGTCCAGCCTCGTCTCTCCATCCTGCCTGTTTCTTCATCCTTCTGCCTTGGTCATTTGGTTTGTTCCAACACAAATCCCGCTGCCCGTCGAGCCGCGCTTGGGAAGGGCTGGGGAGGGGAAGCGGTGGAGGAGGGAAGGATGGGGGTCCCATGCCAGTGGGGTACCCCCCACCCCACACAGGCAGACACCCCTTCCTTGCCCCTGAGAGAAGAAGTTGCACCTCCGGAGTCTGGATCTCATTCAGATCTTCTCTCCATCCCATCTATCCTCTTTTCTCACCTTTATTTTTTTTTTTTTAAACATTGCTCCGTGCTGCTGAATGGCTCCATGCCGGGAGCAGTGGTGAAAATCCCGTCCCCCTCCCTCTCTTCCCAGGTCCCGGCTGGCGGATTTCCACGCCAACTGCCAAGCCTCCTCCTTCCAGTCCCTGACCAGCTGCCCCGGGGACAACTACCAGGCGTGCCTGGGCTCCTACGCAGGGCTCATCGGTGAGTGCCGGGGGCATGGGATGGGGAAGGGTCTCTCCCACCGCAGCTCCTCATCCCTCTTCCTCCTCCTCACCCGGGAGCAGGTTTCGACATGACTCCCAACTACGTGGACGCCAGCACCACCAGCATCACCATCTCGCCCTGGTGCTCCTGCAAAGGCAGCGGCAACCTGGAAGAGGAGTGTGAAAAATTTCTCCGAGACTTCACGGAAAACCCGTGTCTCCGTAAGGCGCTTCCCCGTCCCCCTGCTCCCCCCCCC